GAAGGGAGGAAAGTGAAGTCAGAGAAGGAAATCTGGCCTAAGGGAGTAGTCGGGGTGGAAAGACTGGAGGTCATAGTGAAGACAAAGGGTAGAAAGAGTGAGACACAGGATGAGATGTTAAGAGGTTATGGTTGTGCACAGGAACACTTGTGGGTGATGGCGAAATGAAAGGTATGACCATCTCTGGGTGTAGTTATGGTAGAGGGAATGTGCAACTCACAAGGATTAAGAAGATTGGGGAACTGGAAGGCCTGGGTATTTAAGAGAATACACATCTGTATTCTTCATATCCCCTAATATAAGAGTAGGAGCTGCAGAGGAACAGAAGACAGACAATGAGGTACTGAACTTCCAAGAAAGGGAGAAGAATGATACAAAGACTGAAGAGAATTACCACTGGGACATGAGGTATTTGATATGTGTGCACAGTGTGAACCTCAAAGGAAGTGGAGGGGACTGGAAGTGACACTCAGTAGAAAGGGATATGCCAATTCATACACCAAGACTGGTGTATTAGAAGGCATGGGAGAAGGTGCAACCAGGAAGGGATGGTTAGGGATAACATGTCCTTGGGAAAGCCAGGTCTCTGTGAATGCTGGAGGATGGAAAGAGTGCAAGGAGAAGGAAGGGGTCTAAGATAAAGGGAATTTTGTTAATGAGTGAGTAGAAATTCCAAAGAGCAAAATGAAAATGATAAGCTGACCTAGATGAAGTATTGACTCTTTAATCTTAAACTATGATGTTTGAGTGAGGAGATTCTCTACATTTCCTTCATAAAGTCTTCCAAATTGTATTAACATTTGATAATAAGTGGTCATTGGAAGCTGTAAATCTATGACCCTGAAAACATGTGTCTCTACAGCAACAGTATGACTGAGTCTGGTTTGCTTCCTCATACCCATCTAGTGGCAATCCAATAGGGCCTATTGGATTTGCAGTGGAACTTCCTTATAGAAAAAAAATGAGAGGAGGCATTAGCTAGTCTTAAATCCCATGTTCTTATTTTCACTTAGCTCTTGATTTAAGTGACTTCCCTCAGCATTTTCCATAAAGAAGTGTCCTTAGAACACGTCACTTCAAGCAAACAGCCTTGGGATAAATGACCTTGTCTTTTATGTCTTTTCTAAGGTTGATCTAGTCAATTTCTAAGTGACTCATTGAGGGAACAGAAACTGGCTGGCTAGTGGCAGTCATTCTCAACGTGGGAAATATCATGCTGATTTTGACTCATACTTCATAGTCACGTGGAGACTGAAGGACCTATTTCTCCTTTGAACAGCTAACTCTGAGGCATTGCTCCAATAATGGGAAATTTCTAAATGCCCACTATGTTCAAGTGGACAATGGTTCAATCCCAATGATGCTTGTATATTTCCATCAGAAGGTTGGCACTTGATAGAAAAGAACACAAGTATGTTGGTAGGCTCCCAAGAGTAATTTCTTCTCTGCTTCCTTCAGTCTTCCTGAAGGAAAACTATAGAAGTAATTTCAACCATGTTTTTTTTTTTCAAACATGTTTATTTGTAACAGTATTACATGATGTGTTACAGAAATTAATGGAAAATCTCTAAAAACATTTGCTGTTCTGTTGAATGCATCATACGTAAAGTTAAAAATAATGTGTCCGTATATGTTAACAAACTGTCATCTGAGGTAAAGTCGAAGTAGATCTAGAAATGTACGGCAACAGTCCTTTTATCTTTCTCCTCTTTATTAAAAAAATATGTGTCAGAATGCAGAAATGGAATTGAACAAAACCCACAGAGTAAACATCATTGTTGTCATTATCATCATTATTATTATTTCTGAAAAAAAGGGCGCCCAGTACATTAGATGATGGCATTTCATTAGACACTGGGATGACTATGGTCTATTGAAACTGTCTCATTACATGTAGAGATTGAAGAAATACGGGGAATGGTAACAAGATGGAGGTTGAGTTTCCCTGGTTTTAAAATTTACAGTGACAAATTTAGTGCCAGTGAAGGATGAGGAATTAACACTTATACAAGTAGTGTATGAAACTGGTCCAGTGCAGACTCCCTGTGAACTTCTGGGTTTCAGCCTCTTTGCTACAGAATAAAGGATGGTTGATATTCCATTGAAAGGACTTGGTAGTTCTAGCTTCCGTGACTCCCACTTTGCAAAAGAACACTGCCAATGATGAGATGGACAATAATCTTAAATGCCAACTTTCCATCCCTCAACTTATTCCATGGATTTCTTTATGTTCCAAGGAGCGGGCATTCCCAATGGAGTCCTGTGAGTGGCAACAAACCCACAGGGCTGTCAGATTCTGCTCTCAAAATATTTCCCAACAGCATAAGTGGAACAGATAATTTGACTATTTCAAAGTCAAGCAAGGTTAGAAACAGTTTTGATTGAGAGACAAAAATTAGAAGACAGCCACATTGAGGCAGAAGATAGCACCACTTGTTGGAGCAGAAATCATAAAACAACACACAGTTCTCTAAGACTTGTTTAATGGAAATGGTGGCCTTTCCTGACTCACCCTAAAACACAACTCAACTTAAGGGAATGTAGTTGTTATATTCCCTCCTTCCCACCATTTTTGTTGTTAACTGTTGACTGAAGAAGGTGGTTTCTTCATAAAATTCATGTGCATTCTTGTGAAAAGGATAGTACTCATAGGTGGCAATTTACAGATGAAAGGAAGGGAGATCAGAAAAGCAAGAGGAGAGGGACAAAGAAGATAATAGGACAAAATGGGAAATGAAGGGAAAGAAGAGAGAATGTAAAGGAGGGGAAAGATGAGTAAGGGGAAAGCACAGAAGAGAAAGAGAAAGATGACTGACTAGAGGGAAAGGGGAGTGACAGAAAAAGGAGAGGGAAAAGAATAGGGAGGTGATGAGAAGGAAGAGGAGGGAAAACAGAGAGGGGGAAAAAGATGATGAGAAGGTAGGGGAAGCAAAAGGGAAGAGGAGAGAAAAGAAGGAAAGGGGGAATGGTAGACAGTCTCTTCGTCTCTCTGTATCTTGGGCACTTTGCCTTCTAGAAACCAGTCTCATAGATTTTACAGTGATCATGTTCTCAAAACACCTAACCAGACAGCAGATTCCAGCAGCCAGGTATTGCAATATTTGGCTCCAAATACTCTCAACCATCCCGATTTGTCACTCTGTTCTTTGTTGGTGGAAAACAAGCTTTCTTCTAAGCCATTTCAGGACACACCATGATGACAGCATAAATGGTGGCTACATCCTGGCCCATTGAAATCCATGACAGTGATGCACCTTCACCTGCTCAAATTCTGAAATCATGATAATAACCCTAGACACAGATGAACCATGATCCCTTTACAGTTTTCTTCTTATTGTTAAATTGCGAATCCAACTCGCGGTAACTGCATAGGAACATTAGGAAAACATGTTTGACCTGTATAAGAATTCTCTGGAGGGCAAAAATATAGAGCTTCTGTATGAAAAGCATGTGCTAAACAGAGTAAGGAACCAAACACTGCACTTCCCCCCCCACCCCAATAAATGTAAAAAAAGGAAGCTAAAACTCTCTGTGTCGTGTACAAACAGTCCCACAGTTTCTGTAGGGGAGGAGTCAAGAATCAAAGACAGGCTCCAAAGGGTCATGTACACTGTATATGCACATGCTGTCTAGATGCATATATGTATGTATATATATATATATATTTTTTTTTTTTCTTTACATGGAGTTTGGGTACTTTTGTGGAAAAAGTGAGATCATTACCTAATGTGATCCCTCCCAGTTTTACTAGTTGCTGATTGACTAGTTGCTACCGCCAGACACACTGAGCACTGGCTCCTTATCACATCAGCATAAGCTTGTGGAAACCATACAGCATGTAAGAACCGTCCTTCCAGCTTGTCACACCTCCAGAGCCGTCTGTTCCTCTCTCTAAAGTGTAATGGCATTATTTAAAAGAATTATCAGTAAGATTGATATTTACAAAAAAAAATTATCAACATTGGACTTCCTTAAAGCCATTTCCCTTACCAAATCACAAGAGTTTTATGGTAAGAATTTTTTTTCCTTTTTCAAGATATAAAATAAAAAAAAAAAGAAATCCCATTTGAGTTTTCTGATGTACAAAAAAAAGAGATAGGGATGAACCACTTGCATCAGAGGATCAGTTTGTTACCCCACTGTTCAAGCCACTGTTGTCCCATTTGGAAAGTCATTTCATCCGAATCTGCAAACTAAAATTGGACCAGAATTATTTGGCAAATAATTTTCTTAAAAAAAAAAAGTGGCACACAGAGAAGAGAACACTTGTCTGCATAGCATCACAGCAGCAAGAGATTGGAGAAATAAAAAATATTCCTTTATTGTACTTAGCATTTGGAGATTTCTAGGAAATAATATGAGTTTTTTCCTCCTTCTCATCCAAGAGAGATGATGCATTTTCTTCCCATAGTGCGAATGTTCAATCTGAAAGCAGCATTTCTCCATCCTGAAGCACGAGAGCAAAGAGGTCCTTTTGGCAACCATTTATTTTTTAAAAAATCATCACAAATAATCAGTTGTGTGATTTAATTCCGTGATTTCAAGTTAAGATTCATTTCACATGAGGCAATTTCCAACTAGATTTCATGACTTATTGGGGGGGGGAAGTTACCAGGAAGTACAAAAAATGGTACACCCATTATCTTTAGGTATGCTAGGGGGAAGGGGAACCCCCAAATCAAAGCCACAAGGCAGGACCAGTTTTCTGTAGTTATGAGAAACAATCATCATTGATGTAAAAATTCAGACTTGGGTCCAAGAACCTGATGGACAACAATCTTGCAAGCACATCAGACCCTCTGACTTTGCTTAAAACAAATAAGTGGCCATTAAAAGTTAACTTTTCACTGCCAGTGACTCCAAATGCAATAGTCAAGGTTGAGGGAAACAAAAAGATTTCCCATCGTGGGTAATTCAGAACTCTTGTCAAGAGGGCTCAAGGTATTTTGTAGGGTAAGTAATTATTGGATGGTTCCAGGGATGGTGATGGTGGGGGTTCCTTTTTTTTTTCCTTTTTGTGCTGCCATAGATATTAGCCGCTGGTTGCCCAAGTGGTCAGGTCCATCTGTAGAATTAGTTCAGCAGGCAACCATCAATTCCATTGTCAGATGGGGTCATATCAAAGAAATCAGGAGAGCCCAAGGCCTGTTGAGATGTAGGTTTCCATTTGAGTCTTGAAGCGCCCACCCCAAACCCACAATGATGCTATTTCTTAGGTCTGTTGATCTGCGCGTAGAGGGATTCATACTCCTGTGGACAGAAGAACGCAAATGAGATGGTCCTACTAGACAGGTACTGTGGAATATAGGCTTGGGTATACTTTGGAGAATATTATCAAAGGAAGTTCATTCATTCAGGCTTCCAACAAACATTTACAATGTGTTGAACATTGATGGTGATAAAAAATTCAGGTAAGATATTGTCCTTGTTTTGACAAAGCTTACAATCTAGTGGGCATGTGTGACATAAACATACATAGCATCATTGATTTAGAACTGGAGGGGAATTTAGAGGCCATAGATCCCAGCCCTCTAACTTACAGATGAGGAAACTCAGGAACAGAGTGTTTGAATAATTTGCTCAGGTCACACAGCTAGTAAGTGACTGAGGCATGATTCAAACTCAGGACTTTTTGATTCCAAGCCTAGCACTCTTTCCACTATATCTTACAGATAACTATAGCATGAAATATTGCCTATGCATATTCAGGATGAATTCACAGAACCTTGGGAAGACTTGCCTGAATTAATGCAGAGCAAAAAAATTAGAAGCAGGAAAATAACATCAAAAGATTTCAGAAATCTTACATACGCAATGACCAACTGTGACCTTAGGGGACTGGTGGAAAGCACACCTCCTGCTATTGGCAGAGGTGATGGACAAGAGGTGCACATATTTTCATATGTGGTCACTAGATTGATTTCTTCTCTTCAAGTATACTTCTTTGTTCCAAGCAGGGTCCTGTGGGTGAAGTGGAGGCTGCTACTGGGGACAGACAGTGGTACTTTTGAAAAAGAAAGTAACGTCAATTAAAAAAAATGAGGAAAATAAATGAAGTAAAGAGTTACAAAATGACATGCTATATAAAGTCTAGGGTAACTGGTCATTAGTGTTCGGAGAGGATTTCTGGAAGAAGTGGTACTTGAGGTGAATCTTAAAGGATGGATCATTGGGAATTTCAACAAAAAGGGGAGGAGTGACATTCTAGTGACACTGTGAGCAAAGGTATAGAGGTGGGACCATTCTGAGTGAAGCACAAGGGAGGAAAAGAGATAAGGATGGAAAAGGAGAATAACATCAGATTGCAGAAGGTTTCGAATGGCAGGGTATAGAGGTTTAATTTTACTCTGAAGCCAAAGTTTGTAGAAGAGGACTGTAGCTTTCAAGGGCTGCTTATGGACTGACTTCAGATGAGCTCCATGTGTATTTTTTATCACTCCCTTCCTTCCTCTACACATCAATACATTTCAAAATCTGGCCACTTGGAATGATACAAACTCTATTTTAAAGGATATCTAAGTTCTGATGAGGCATGAACAATTGGACATCTGTATAAAGAATACTCTTCCAGTTTTTGTTTTAGTATGGTCAGTTTTAAGGGTGCAGTATTGAGAACAGTGGGCCTTGGTTTCAGAGTTCCCACCTCTTACATTAACTAAGTCACGTGACCTCGAGCAATTCAACAAACATTTATTAGACTATTGGGTGTGTGGTGCTGCCAATACCAAGACAAACACAAATCATGCCTGTCCTCAAGAAGATTATGTTCTGCCGGAGGCATATAACACATGTGCACGTTAGCAGATACAAAATATTTAAAGGACTTAAAGTAATTTTTCTATTGTTCTTTTAGAATCTTATTTTTATAGATACTTTTTATCTTTAACAACACATTAATTCCTAGATAGATCCCTCTCTTCAAACTGAGTGAGCCTTTACTTGTCATAAAAAATTGAAAAAAGGAATACAAGGCAGTCCAGCAAAACCACCGAACGCATCAATCACATCTGAAATCATACGCGATGTTACCTATGCGCCCAGGGCTTCTCCCATCTCTGAAAATATGAGAGGTAAGAGTGTTTTAACTCTTCTCTGAGGCCTCCTAAGTCTGATCATGATAATTACATACCAATTAGTTTTCAAAGTAATTTTGAGAGGGAGGTAGAACTGAGCATGGAGTCATAAAGGCCTAAGTTAAATTCCTGCCTCAGATACTTGCTAGCTGTATGACTTTCAGTAAGTCACTTTACCTTTCTGGGCCTCAGTTTCAGTTTGTAAAATGAGGGCATTGGACTCAATGGACTCTAAGGTCCCTTCCAGCTCTCAAGCTATGAAGCTATGAAATGCACATATATTACTTTCCTTCTCTGATCTGAACTATCATTTTCTCTCTTTAAATGAAATCTCTCTCTCTCTCTCTCTCTCTCTCTCTCTCTCTCTCTCTCTCTCTCTCTCTCTCTCTGTCTCTGTCTTCTCTCTCATCTCTTTCTCCATTTTCTCTTTCATCTCTTTCTCCATCTTTTTTCTCATCTCCCTCATCACTCTCATCTCATTCTTCTTTCTCTCTCTCTTTCTCCTCTCCTCTCCTCTTTTCCTGTTTCTGTCTCTCTCTCTCTCTCTCTCTCTCTCTCTCTCTCTCTCTCTCTCTCTCTCTCTCTCTCATATGGAGGAGGGGTATATTAAATGCTAACTATGACTGTTTGGAAGAAATATTGTATTTTGCCAGGAGGGATGTTAATGTCAACATTTCTGGGTTATGGTTGAAGAGTGGCACCCCAACCCCTCCCTATTCCAGCTCTCTCCATTCCACCTTCATCCCAGATGCCCTAAGAAGTCAGACTGACTTGATCTCTCCCACCAATTTACTGTATTCTAATTCTGGAAGCTAATTAATCCGACAGAGAGCGACACCTAGAAACAGAAGTAGGCAGCAAGTTCAGCCAGGCTCATTACTGGCAGCCAGCATTAACTTTCCAAAGCAGTGATAAATATTCACAGATCCTGAGAGAGCCTGAATTTAGATTTGAGCAGCCATCGCAACAAGGCGATAGCTGGCACTCAGTTATCCCTATCAATGATGGGGAGCACACCAAACATTTGGTGGTCCCCAAATCAGATGAGTGCTGTAATGTCCTCATGGGAAGGGAGTATCATAAAATGGATAGACAGCATACTGTCCTTGTAGTCAGGAAGAGCTGGGTTCAAGCCCTGCCTCTGACTCAAACATGACTATATGACCCTGAGCTAGCCAGTTAACCTCAGGTAATTCTTTAAGACTATCTGAGGCACAGAGGAGGTGTTGATCTGAGTTGGTAGAAAGTGTTTCATCATAATGAAATCACATTCTGTATAATGATGTTAGATCTGTCAAATGTTATAGTATAAAACTACAGCCTTTTCCCAAAAATGTTTGTTATAGATCAAGAAAGGTCCTCAGAGCTCATTTAGGCTAATCCTTTCATTCATTTTACAAGTGAGGAAACTGAGGCCCAGGGAAGTAAAATAACTTCCCAAGTCACAATGCCAATGCCCAAGACAATATTTGAACCTTGGTCCACTGCCTGTACCACACTGTGCACCAATGTAGGGATTTGGCAAAAAGTCTGCCTTGCTGATTGTTGAAGCATACAATGTTAATGCTGAAGGGACCCTATGATAAGGACACTGAGATATGGAACATTATTATTATAAAGTAACTTAAGTCAACTAGCATTTATTAAGCACCTACTATATGCTAGCCCCTGTGTTAAGTAAGCCTTGTGGATGCAAAGAAAGGCCAAGCAAATTTAAAAAAAAACAGTCCCTGCTCTCAAGGAGCTTCCAGTCTAATAGAGCAAAGCATGTTTTAATGTAGCACATTAGAGCTGGGAGGGACATAATCATGCAGAATATTATAGCTGGCATGAAAATGTAAATGCTAGAGTAGGGAGGGACCTTATGACACAGAATGCTGGGACACAGAAGGCTAGAGCTTCAAGGGTTCTTAGAACATAGCACTTAGACTGCTGGAGTTGCAAAGGAACTTAGAATATGCAATGCTACAGCACAAAGCACATAGACTATTAATGCGAGAAAGAGCTTTGTATATAAAATGCTAGACAATAAAACATCCATAGAACACGGAACCTCAGCCCTAAAAAGGACTTTAGCTGGCGATCTAGTCCAACCCCTTAAAGACCAACCCATACTGGAGCCAGAATCTCCATTACACCATTCCCAACAAGTAGCCATCCACCCTTTGTCTGGGGACATCCAGTGAAGTAGAGCCCACTGCCTCCCGAGACAACTCATTTTAAAGGAAACTGAGGACAATGAAGTTAACAGCAATTTGTTTAACTCTGATTTGGTTTGATTAATGGTAGGACCAGGACTAAAACCCAAAAGTATCTTGATTACCTCCAACCCAGTACTCTTTCCATAAGTAAGAGGTCCTTTGAATTAAGTGGAAAAGTAACATTGGTAAATACTGTTGGGCACAAAATATAGAGAAAATAATCTTTTCATCAAAGAAAAGTAGGGAAATAATCACAGTGAAGAGTCCTGAGATCATGCTGTATAAGAATAAATTAAAAGAACCGGGAATGTTTAATCTGGAGAAGAGAAGACTTGGAGATGGATATATATACTCTTCAAGTATTTGAAAGGATGATATATGGCAGACAGATTAGGCCTGGGCTAGTTCTTTATGGCCTCACAGGGCAAAACTAGGAGTAATGGGTTGAAGCCAGGGAGGAAGATTCAGGTTTCCTGACAATCTGAGCCTTTGGAATGGGCTGCCTTGGGATGGAGTGGGTTCTGCATCACTGCATGTCCACAAAAGATGAATGGCTACGGGATGGAAATGGTATCAAGGGGATTCTTCTCCTGATATGGGTTGGACTGGCTGGTCTGTGAGGTATCTTACAGTTTAGAGCAGCTGAATATTCAAATGTCAACTAATTCCTGTCCTTCAAGCCTGACCTTGATACTGTCTTATTGGTGAAATTATCTCCTGATGAGGCCCCTTTAAGGTTGCCTCCCTTTCTAATGAATTCCACTCCTTAGTAAGGTTTTAGTGTCTGCCAAAGCACTATTAAATAAGATGTTTTCTAATAAATAAATACAATGTGTTTAATAAAATGAAAATCAGAATAACAGGGTAACAGATGTCTCGCTGTCACCTTAAATTCAACATATCTAACTGAGCTCATTGTATTTTACACTCCCATTTCTGTAAATGGTGCTCAGTCACTGAGACTTGACATTTTGTA